AATGCGCTTAGTACAGCTGTGCTTTGGGTATCTCACACAATTTATGCAATTGTGTTATAATTCCTTGATGCAAAAACATACTATAAACAAGTTTGGCTACGTTACGTAAACAAATTGGAACGAGAGACTATTTTTCATCAAAGCGACTTTAAAGAACTTGCCTAAACTTTTTTCTTATATACTTAATGAAAGGTAGTCTCACCTCTTGTTAGAAATTGTTTGATTTAAGTAGACGTCCTTCATAACATACTGCCTATTCTATCATTTGTCCCTTCCATGTATGAAATCTGGAAATACCAGTCAGAACTGTAATTGTTAAGGGAAGGGTAAATACTTGGCAGTAACAAAAAAGTAACAAATACTTGTTCCTCCTCTCATATTATTTTGGTTAATTTCATAGATAAGCTGCCCAAAACTGAGAGAAATGGTACAGGTTGCTGGCCCCAGTTGCTCTTCCTAAACACAAATTAAAGTTTTTCCATTGTGATTCCACTTCAGAGGTGCGGCCATCCAAACTCCTCAATTGCTGGGGTTTGTTCTGATGAGACTGACTTGATTATTGTATTTATCTTGTTGCTTGCCCTTTTTCTGTGGAGAATGTAAGGCTTGTAGGAACAAGTTTTTCTTCTAAAGGGTATGATAGGAATTGCAAATAGATGTGCTAGGGTCGATGCAATTTTGTTAAATGTCCATGCATCCTGGTTATCTTAAGTTTTGTGGTGTTATATAACTGGTATCTGAGAATGAAATGTGTGACAGACATTCGCTGCATTTCACAGAAGGAGCTCGAAAAGTGGGAAATGTGTATGAAAAACATGTTTAATTGCTTGTAAATAGATAGCATGAAGATTGTAAATTTATTATGTTGTAGCTGAAATGCATTCATTAAAAAATGGAAGCAGGTGCTGTTAGCAATCACAGAAGTAAATGAAAATGTCATTAATGACATATTATAAAATTTCTGTTAATGTGATAATAAGGAACATGCAAGAATAACTAAAAATCATGAAGGGTTGCTACAACTCACTGTGTTTGCCACCTCAGCAGTAGCAGCTAACGAAGAGCCAGTTTTTAAAACCGATGACATTGCCTTGCTTGCAGTTATTATTGAGTTTTGGTTTATTAATGGATTGTTTTATTATTTACATCTTATATAATCAAGGTTTTGGGATGGAATGGATATTGTTTCTTTTTCTTGAGATGTTACAGTGGTATTCGTTATAAAATATGTAGTGTTGTATATGTACAGTATAATAACATAGGCAAGAGGGAGAGAGGGACTTGAAGGCATGTGGAAACACCAATGTGTGGTGGGATATAACCCATTGCTCATTTAGCACGAGTCACTAACCATTGTTTGGGATTGGTTTTCATTGCAAGTGTGGCTTATCAAATAAAATTTTAAAAAAATATTAAAATTAAAAAAAATGCTTTTGGCATTAGTGTTACATGATGTAGGAAAAGAAGACACTTTACTTATTGCTAGAATAAAAGCGTATTGGCACCAATTGTTAGCACATCACTTTTGAGACACACCGTATTTCTGATCTTATCCAGCACACTAAAAGTAAATTTCTCGTGACATGTGTATGTTATATAAAAGAGGATATAATTTGCGACAACTTGCAATAGGCCATACAGGAAGGAAAGTACTGATAGCTCATCAGGATAAGTTTGTTCATCTCTGAAGCTGGAACTTGCAACACTTTTTCTTCTTATTTTTTGTTCCATTGCTGTGATTTTCTAGACTGAGTACAGTAAAGCTTGTCTTATACAGCTTTCTGTGCAATATACACACCATATCTATATTTGAACAGAGAACAGACTGATTTTATGCTTGTCCTGTATCATGTTAGCCCTGGGTTTTGCTTACTAATGGGAAATGTATTCTTTGTAAGCTACTGGATAGGAGTGCTTGCTACACACAGGGAGAGCAGTCAGAGGCCAGTGATGAATTTATGTACTAGTTTCTCTCAATTACTGAAAAACAAATTATAAGACATGCGGTGTTATATTGTCAGAGGATTGTAGTTGTAGCAATGGTGTTTATTAGTTTTGTCATTTTCTGTAACTGAAGAAGAATATAATTCTTAGTTTCAAAATTGGATCTGAACTTCCAACTTTTAACAGTAGATCATGAAGTTTATTTTCAGTGCACTTACAATGTATATTTTATACAATAGATTCACTTATTATTTCTGTGCACTTCTGGAAGTGGGAGATTCATTTTACACATGGCTACTTTTAGACATCTTTTCTTGTAGGTCTGATCTAGCATATGGAGACTTCTTTGGGCATTTATTTTGTTGTGATTTATACATATGCAGGCTGGGGATGCAATGCATTTTGGTTTCTCCATGTGCTAGCAAGATCCACTCTGCTTCATTCTTTTCATAGTACATTCCTTTGGTTAGTGGAATAAGAACTTCAATCCAGTAGCTAGTGCATTGTTATAGCACTAAGTTATTTAAGGTATGGATATTTAGTTCATACAAATTAACTATTTGAAATATATATCCCAGTGCTGTATGAATTGAATATTTTCCATTCCCTGGGTTAACCTATCTCTAGTCAATGAAAGCATTTTCATTGTTAAGTCCATTATTTCATAAAATACCTCTTCAGCATGCCATATCATAATGTTTGAATGGTATTACCTTAATTTTCTGAAGATTTATAATTCATTGTTTTAACCAGGATTGTGCCACATAGAGTTGTTTTTTTCTGTTAAATCCAGGTTTGAAAATACAATAGTAAAGTAATTGGTTATTTTATTATAACATAGACCAAGAACTCATATATGATGTGTTTTATTACTGTGTACAAATTTTAGTTAGTTAACCAGTTATTAACTTAGTTGTATTTTATTTTATTTTATTTTAATTAGGATATTGATGATCTATGTTCAGTTCATGCACATAGAAAAAGAAGACTGAATTATTACGTAGAGTTCTCATTTGTTTTAGACTGAGGGTATATATTAAGTGTTTACAAGATGCCTTATTATCTTTTTAAATCTTCTGATAAATGAGGTTGGCAGCAAGCCAAAATCCTCAGGTGAATCAGGAATTAAAACAATTAAAAAATTAACTGCAATATTTGTAAGTCCAATTGTATATAGATTTAATCAGCATATTTTCATGTCCCAAGGGCATGCTAAAAACACATAGGTAACAGTCTGTGATTTTGAGAAGAAAAATAGGATGAACAAAATGGTACTTCCAAACTTGATCAAAAACAAAATAAAAATTAGATGAAGTTTGGAAGAGGTTTAAAGGCTGTTTACCCAGACTTTCTGCGGATGTATTAAACCATATAGTGTTGGTCACATGATATAAATATTATCTACTAGTAGCCACTAAATCATAGAAGTTAGTAATTTAATTTGTTTTTCACCATATGAAGTAGTAACAATATTTTGAGAGTCTAATTTGTGTTGCTTGGTAAAACTACACTTCCTATTAGCAGATTATATAAATGAGAGCAAAATTTGAGGCCATTTTTGGAGCAATGTTTAGGTTCACATTTGGAAATTTGGGCTATAACACATCTGTAGGAGGTATTGATAACTATCATTGAATTTTTATGTATGTCTTTCTCACACACACACAGAAACTCATCCTTTTTAAATTTGTGAATTACATATATATAAAATTTTATTTCAAATCTTTCCAGTCTTGAAAATTATTTACAGATTTTGGGTTGGCAGTCTGAATAAATTTATTAAGACTGCTATAACATTAAGTTTCCGAGTCATATGCAGTAAGAATTTGGCAAGTATCTCCTAGAGATCAAACATTTGTTTTCAGATGAATGGTTCCATGTCTCCAAATAATCAGTTATGTTTTTGTACTATAATGCAAAATAAGAATTATATAAAACAGTTTGTTCATACCTAGTCATGTCAGTATTATTACAAAGATGTGAAAAACATATCACAATGGTTAATTTTAAACACTTCCCATCTTTCCGCACAGACACATGAACTCTTTCGCTTACATGCATGGAACAGTTTCACTGTGTGGAAAAGTTATGAAATGCATTGTGGATGGAACTATTTGACCAAATGTACAGAAATATCGCCCTTTTATAAAATTCCATAGCAAAAATGAAATGTAAAGTATTGATGCTGGTTTTATATTGTCATATGATAAATGTATATGTGCAAAGATGAAATATTGCATTCATGTCTAAATTCTGACAGTCAGGTGAAAATTGCCTTGCTCATAGCTAATTTATTTTTATTATGAGTGAAAAGAATTAAGCTTAGCATTTGGATTGGGATTAAATTACAACCATATCCATATTAAGGTAACAGTGTTGTGTATGGTTAAATGGTGGCAAGTAGAATGTGAATGGGAATCCATTGCTCTTTTTATAATTTTTATAAAATGGGAAATAATAGTTAAAGCAAAAGTCACTCATGTGCCTTAATGACGGATTACATTAGGTCTTGGGACTTGATTGTGTGCGATTAAAAAACCTGAAGTTGTTTCAGGGTGCTGTATGGTATAGTACAGACGAAGTTGTCAGGGTAAAGAGCCAATGAGATTTGGAAATGCTTGTGGATGTTAAAGTTTATAAGAGTTTAGTTACAATTTGTTACATATATTACATAATGTGCCTTGGACTACAGCTTGGTGACTTTTTTCTTATAAAATTATGCGGACATTCCATTACAATTTTAAACCAATTCTGGAAAAGAAAATGGAAGGAGCTGTTTAAATTAAAAACCAAAATTGTAATTTTGTATTTTAAATTATATAAACCTTTTTAGAACAGATTAATGGACAATTTATTGAGGCAGTAACTTAAGTTTCACATAAATGTGAGAGTATGTAATTTTTTTATTTGGGGTTTGGTTCATGAATGTATCTTAGACTTATCAAGTTAACAAAATGGGATGGCTCTGTCAGAATGAATGAGAAACAAGTGAATGAATAAATATTTCAATTAGTAGAATGTTTTGTTATCTTTAATAACACAAGATGAAGCGCAAAGACTTGAGTTCAGTTAACCCTTTGAAGTTCATTGGTAACTGTATGTACCACCTGCATTTTGCCCACATAGCACACACATGGGTTTTATATGATTTTCAGAATAAATAATTATTATTTCTTTAAACAGCACTTATCAGTTGTTGTTTTTTTAATGGAAACATTTTGTTTTCGTAGAGTTATGAACTGAATATTTCAAGTTATTTAGATGACCTTTGGCTTCAAGGATTAAGAGAAAAGAAATGTAATGAACTTGTTATGAACTAGAATTTTCCGTTGTCTTTATGGGCTTGTATTTTCAAATACAAAGTGACAAGTGCTGAGGTTCCGAGACCCACAATTTAGGCACATCCGCATTGTTTCTAATGTGCACGTAACTTAAATGAAACTGTTAAGTTATATAATCAGTTCCAAATAATTTTGTCTCTAAAGAGAACATTCCTTTGACAATGAGCCATCCTGTAACAGTTTCTTGCTACTGCCAGTGTTGACTGTTCACCACTAATAATTTTAATTAATAACTGAAATCTAAAATGCATAATTAGTACTCCTGTCACGTTGACAGAATTAAAATGCTGCAAGACTTTCAGTTATTGGACTTTGTAAAAGTTTCCTCTGAATATTTGATTTTGTCATACTGAAATTAAGAAAAATGAGTTAAATATTTCAGTTGAATGTAGTGCATCTTAGATTTTTGTTAAATGTGGTAAATTAAATTTGCTATGTAAATATCTGTACTAACTATTACACACTCTTTTATTATAATTGTATTTGTGGAAACCTAAGGTGATAGAACTTAGTTCAACATTTCAGAGATATAAAATTATTCAGAATTCTGTTTGAAAGTAAAGTAAAGTGGTTATACCAGTATGACATAGTCTTAAAAGTAAGTGTCATACTTCATTCAACAGAAAAGGGATATGTATTGCATTGCATATGTAAGTTCATTTGGTTAATTACAGAATTAGTATATATACGTACACACATGCACACAACACATATTTTTACACATATGTATGTATAAAATAAACTTATATCCATAATCTTACTAAAATTTATTAATAATTCATCCAGCGCTAAGGGATTAAGATAAATTGTTGGCTGAAAATATATTTAAGAGTGAGTCTCAAAATCATGTATTTCTTTTTTAGTCAGAGTGATATGTTTATTAAGACTGATTTATTCATTTTAAATGCATAAAATATGAGCTTTGAAAAAACAGTACTAAGTGTGACATGTTTATGCACTGTGTCTTGCATTTTATGTTGCATTTAAGGGAAGATAAAATATGATGGGGAAGAAATAAGCTGCTAATAGAGAATACCGTTATACTCGCTGAGGTTCATTCAGTCCTAAAAGTGTAGTTTGAACTCATTTAATTTTATTCATTTACTGATAGTTAAAATATGTAGCATAATTACAGATATTTACATTTTTCTACATTTTTGGAAATTCTTCACGTTCTCTTAGAAAGAGAACATTTTATTCCGTGCAAAGAAATTTCTGTGGTAGGGAAAAGTGTTTTTCTTTTCTGTCAAACTTAGGAAGGAATGATCATGTTAAGAAAAATCAACAATTTTAATTAAGAAGGTTTATTTGGCATTTCATTACTTACACTTCTATTTTTTATTACTAAATTTGCTTACAGTGTGATCTGAACTGGTATCAAAACATGTTGTGCCTGAATAGGCAGAGTTGTTAGAAATGATCCAAGTTGAAGCATTCACTGGGCTCAGAATGTAAAATACAAAATAAATATATTTTGTGGCAGTATCAAAGGTCACAGATGTACCTAATTTTTTAAATAGTACACATTAACTCAGTCATTTTTCTTCATTTTAATTTTACAGGGGAATAATTATATAATGACCATTTTGACAATGACTGTATTCAAATGGAATGTGGCACCATAATATAATCCATCACCATTCTCTGCATTAAAATAAATAAGAAAAACTATATAACAAATGTATATAACATATCATTTGTTTCTCATCAAATATGCCTATGGAATTGTTAGTTCAAACATTTGTATGTTGCTGACAAACACAAGTGAACATTTGTTTGTACCCCTGTTTAAAGTATTTTAAAAAATACACCAAAATCAAATTATTATTACAACATTTCCCTTCCATGCCAAATTTAAATCAATGCCATTGATAAGCTCTGCAGTTGAAACATTGGAACAGGCAGGTGACCATGTATAAATTCTCCACGAGACAATCTTCATTTATTCATTGCATTTAGTATGTAAATGTTATTTGTTTGCTTAACAATAATGCATAAACTGCAGAAGTTATAAAGTGTCATTGAATTGTATTGGAGAGACTGAGAAAAACTGCATAAAATCTATCACGATAGTTAGTATCCTGGCCAAGAATCAAACAGAGGTCCTCCAAATATGATGCCAGAGTGCAACCACTGTACTACAATATTTAGACCTACAAATACACCAGAAGTTAAATTCAAAAGTTAAATTTGTAAATAGAAGTGCACAGAATCTAACAATCAAAATAAAGTTCATTGAGACACTAGCAGCTTAGTTCTTTCTGCCATGTGAAAATTTTGGAATGTGTTGTGTAACTTGCTTCTGCACTACCAGTTGTGCCACAGATGCAACACCTTCCAAAACATTCTGTTTATAAACTTATTTCTGTTTATATCAACAATGCAAGTTCATCACCCATACAGATCTCATACACATTTGTTTGCTGTGTTCCAATCTACCTCAGTGAATACCAATAAGCTACATAAGAATGAATGACTGTAACAGATTGAAGATACGTAATATATATAATCTATAATCTATAATCCATACTACGTATTAGATGGTTTGAAGAACTCAAGATTTTTGTACATAGTTAACTTTTTTATACTGATAATATGCCAGACTGTTTACAGAATATCATAAGAAATAGTTATAGTAATGTTGCCTACTGTTTGTTATTTTCCTGTGGCACTTGATCTTGAGTGATACAAACATTGTTCAGATATAACAGGTTCCTAACATGGCCTTAATATCATACTCTGGTTTCTGATGTTGCTCTTAGATGTGAGGATTGTTATTATAATAAATTATGCAGAACAAAATAAAATACAGCACGTAATAATATTATTAAGAGAAAAACTATTCTGTTTTTGTATCCAGTGCATCTGCAAGTCTTTTCCTTTACATAATTGTATTTTGTTTTATTTTGAGATGAACCAAGTCTTGAAATATATCTATTTGACTGTCTGTAAGCATTAAAGGTACTTTTGTATTTCATATTTTATTATGAAATTTAGCAGTACATATGTATCTCCTCCATTGATGATGTTTTCCACCATTTGGACATGTATTTCTTTACTTACAATTGATGTCTTGAATAATAAGGATCTCAGGATTTCTGAATTCAAGCCACCGTTTTTTCATCAATCCTCTTTCCAATGCATTAACATGTTATTATGAAGAATTTTCTTTAGAATTTTTATAATTCTGACTCCTGTAGAAATTCCTACATTGTGATAAGTGAAAATGTTTCTTAATCTTGATGCATAGTTTTTAGGGCTGTCATAATTATTCATTTAATCAGTCCAATTAATTTCAGTTTAAATCACTGATTATTTTCTGTAGTCTGTTATTGGTCTGTGCCAGTAATACAAAATTAAGCTTAAGATATTATATATAATTACTGTATTAACATTAAAAACATTGTTTAACATATTTATTAGTTTTAAAACCTCAGACTTGTTCTAGCACAAACTACTCTGGCACATCGAGCTCTATTTGTGTCCCCTAATTTAAAAGCAACTTTTCAACTTTTTAGTATTCAGACTTAAAATTAAATGTTCCCATATTAAAAATTAGATGAACCTTTGGTGACAATGTATCAACTGTTTAATTTAATAATTTATTGTTTGGCTGGCTGAATCCTAAATCCCAAGCCCCATGCTATATAACAGCTGCTGTTGTATGTGTCAAAATGCTACATGTGAGAACAAGTGTATGCGTAATACCTATGTGAAGAGTGGTTGGTTTTACAAGAAAAGTAATGGACAGAGTGGATATGAACTTGTTATGGAGGTGCCAGAAATTTGTGTGGAACAACAAATATCATTTCCAGTATTTACTATAATCAGGGTAAGTTTTATTTTTAGTATGATTAGACTATAGGTATGTCAGTTCGGCTAGCAGTCTGAATATCCGCTTTGTACCACACGGTCCTACACCACACAACAGAATTCAGATTGTTTGTAAAATTAAATAAGTATTGCTCAGCTTTCCAGTGATTCATAAACTGCAAACTCTTGGCCAGTCTGGGTTTGCTTATACACACAACAAATACGAACAATTATTTACTGAACATTGAAAATGTTCATATAGTATATGCATTATGCCAAACATGCTTTAGTATTTTCTCCTAATCCCAAACTTCAACTGCTAGTGATACCTGTTTTATCAACACCTTTATGTGTTTCCGTGAAGTCTGAAGTCTTAACACACCAACGATCTGAATGATCCATCAGATTCAGCATTCATTTGCATGATTGTAAAAAATCTGTGTATATAATGGGAAACTTCATGTGGCCACATTCATGATCCCCAAGAGAATTATGTTTATCAACCCAGAATTACCTAACACACCATTCTAAAGGAACCTAACGCATGTTGGACAAGGGTTTACTGTATACAGAATCATATATAATTTGCTGTATAATTTATAATTTGACACTGATTTTAAAATGCAGTATATTAAAATAAATTGTTAAAATTATGATATAGGAGTTAGGGTTGTAAATGTTCCTGTTACATGATATTATTTAAAGCTTACTTAAGTTAAAAAAGGAGATATGGTACTAACAAAGAAAGTCATATATTACACCAGTAATGAAATGAGTCGGTGGAAGCTTACTTAAAATACTCGGTATAGTATAATGCAATATTTTACATCTGTTCAACAACACTCTTAAATTTCTGTACAGTTCTGTATTATATGAAAGAAATGATGTCACATTTATAATATACTTATTGATGACTTATTTAATGATGCTGTCAACAGCTCAGACTACATAGTGTCAATTCTGTGATATACCCAATCATTACTTTACAAGGCAGAGATAAACAAGTGCATACAACCCAGTTATTTATAGACTTTAAGGAAGTTTTATATTTAATTAGGTATGGTATAATCCATTGTATCTTCACATTCTAAACTTTAAAACTAATGACAGTATCACTGAGCCAGATATTTGCTTTTATAGACTTAATGTGAGTTTGATATTGAAAAAAATCATCAAACCCCTTATTTTCTGCCATCTAGTAGGTAAAAGGGGAACTTTTTCATCATGTAGTTTGTCACATACATAGTGGTGGCAACCACCAATGATAAATGTGTTTCATACAGATGTTTTGGAGACTGGTTACTGACTTCTTCTGGGATGGACTCTCTGTTTTCTGTATGGAAGTGACATTTCTACTGTGTTTCATTTGGGAGGTAATGTGAAGAGACAGGACATTTAAAGAAGGCAAGTAAATCTTACTGTAAAAAAGACTTCTTTAAGGTATGTTTAATGACACTGTTTGTTTGATATCTATATAAATAAATACCATTTTGATTTCTGGCCAACACTAATTATATGAAATTCTCCATAAAACACTGTTTGACTTTGTATTCTATTTCAAGATATGTTTATCACACAACATGTAGGCCTATATATAATATAATTTTATTAATATCTGCTGTAAAAGGAATGTGTAATATAATAAGAAATGCAACACCAAAATTTACACATTGGCTATATTAGTGACTTATTTGTACTAACCGTAGTTGGGAAAATTTACCTGTTCAAGCAAAGATTTTGTGTACAAGTAACTGGCCATGATTAGCTATTACATATGCATTTCTGTGTCTGAATATGCATGCTGTTGTTTCAGTAATTTCGTTTTGTGCATGCAGAAGATAATGTTTTTACCTAAAGATTGATAATATTATGTATGTTATGCAAAAGTAAAGAAATATAATACTAGTAAAAGGTACAAAATTGTTTAATAACATTCTATTCCAGTAGTTCAGGTTAAGTGAAGGGTATGGTGCAGGTGACCCATCAGAATCACACTCAGTTTTATAAAATGAGAAACTTCACAGTAATGCCAATTAATACAGGTTTTGACTACTTACATGTGATCTTTTAAGTATAGTTAAGGAGTACTGAGCATAGTTCCTGGCTGGCATTTTATCATGTTGCCAACAATATTAGGTTATGTTAGGTCAGATTAGGTTACTTTAATTTATTTCCTTTACACTTAATTACAATTGTTTTCTTCTTTGCAAACCTTCTTTATTTCTGAGTGCCGTGGTGGCAGTGGTGGTGGGATAGAGTTACCTGAAACATATAAACTAAGCTTTAGTTGAGAATTTTCATCATTAGAAATGTTGGCTTACTTCATTATTGGGTTAGTTCCTTGTATACTGTACTCAGACATGGTTATATTTACTCTATGGTACCTGTTTTAACTCACACTGTTTATAATAACATCAATAACACCCAATTTCTTGTCAAGTAAGAAGAACTAGCCTTCTGGAGGTTCAATACCACTGATACGAAAACCCATCACAGGACACAGTCATCAGCCATTTTCATTCACTTCCCATTCTTATAACTGATCTCCCTCCCATCCAGTCTAATTTTATCCTTACAATTCATTAATTTCTTGTATCTTAACTCAAAACCACAGCAAAATAAGATGACTAAGGAGGAGGAATATTATTATGTCATCATGATATATTTATTTTTCAGAAAATTATCACTCCTTAGTATACTTATTACAAACTGTATTAGGTGACATAACACATTACTTACAGATTACTGTAATGGGATTGTCCTCTGAATCTTCTTCCCGATATGACTGCTTGTACTAGCTGCGGGCTCTTTACTAGCCAATGCATTGGCTTGTGCTTTATTGTAACTTGCTTTAGAGTCAACAACACTGAGGGCAATGCCAAGCTGTGCTGAGTAGTAGGTTATCATAATGAGTGCCTGTAACCCATAAACTTTTTGTAGTCAAATAATGTGTTAATATTTCAGCCATGTTGCTGAAATGAGCAGCAGTAATGAATTATCATATTTAATTACATAATTATCAGTATGTTTTTGTGCAATTTGTTGTTGTTGGTGGTGGTGTAATTAAATGGGTTTTTCATTTTATAAGATGAAAGTGTTCACAGATGAATTCAAGAAGTTAGCAATATTGGAAATGTTAAAACATTTACTGGTATTCTTTTCTGAAAAGGATGTCTTCCTTATTCTTTTTCCTTCCTGTGTTCTGGTGATGGTAGTTGTGAGTCCTGAACACTTGCTGCTTGAGAGTGAACATTTTTATCTTCTTCATCCTAATTGCAGTCATTAAGAAAGAGACAGAGAAAGCCAGTAATGTCTGTTGCTTGCTGTAGTTACAACAGTTAAAAATAACATAAAATATTCAAATAGGCCTTGAGAAATGTAAGCATGTTGCTTTGTGCCACAGTAAGTTGACTTCCCTGGTGATTTTTTCCACTACAAAGGCAGTCAGTCTATTGGGAGGGGAAGCAGAAGAGAGACTGTAGTGTAAACAATACAATATTAATTAAAAAATATCAGTGACACCAATAAACACTTAACTTAATTGATAATTTAATAACTATTTTACCTGCGCATGTGGAATGGGCCTGTGAAAACGATGAAAGCCAATGAGAATATCAGAGACAGCAAAGACAATACCCCCTGCACAGGAACATAATTTTGTCCAGGTCCAAAGTTCCTAAACAAAATAAATCCGTTATTGATGAGTATAAGATTTTAACAGTTTTTTGTAAAGTATTACAGAAAGGAGTACTGACATCATTTACATTCTAAGAGAACTTAACAAGAACCAAATTTTATGACACAGATTAGAAACTTTGTTATGCTGTTGACATGAATGTATTTTGACCACAAAATGTTTACATTCTCTGTGGAAAAACATCTCGTATATTTTCCGTTGTAATTTCAGAGGGAGAGGTTATAAACTCTTGAACTTGCCCTGTAAATATTGCCCGAAGTGACAGTATGAAACAAAACATTACAGATGAATGGTTAGCATTGTATCATCTGTGTGAGGTGGACTTTATTCTCATCTTGGAGGCCCATATTTGACTGGTTCTTTATGGTTTTCCCTCCATTGAAACTACCTGGTTTAGTATCACAAAATAGTCCCTCCAAACTCACCACTCACATTCATAATCTCATTCAATGCTATATAACCTATGTAGCTGAGAAAGCAGTATTAAATAAATTAAGCAAAAGAAGACAGAATAATACATAAACATTAATTCTTCATGCACTTATAACATATCCTGAAAAGCTTGAAAACCGTGAATTTATTACAAAATTCTTAACCAACTCCTCCCTACTGTACAGCGATAATCAATGCATCATTCTCTTGGCTTACTTTCTCCAAACAACTTACAGTAGTAGCACAAATATTACAGAAGGTCTATTACAGTATAGTAACTGCTAATGAATATTTACTATAATATTATTACTTGCATGTCCAATATCTAGGTGTACATCAGTGGTCCCCAACCTTTTTGTGCCTACGGTCACATTTGAGAGTTTATGAGATCGTAGCGGGCACCAACCAATTAACAAAGCCAAATTTTCTTTTCTCTGGACAAATAAGATATGGACACCAAATAATACACAAAACAACACGACGTTTAATGATACAAGAAACCACGCAATCAAAAATACGTAGTTTTATAAGTACAATTATTATTACTCAAGTGGGAAGTTAGTGTGATGTTTGGCGCTGCATTTCATTGGCCAATTTTTCAAATTTGGGAGTGTAGGATGATGTCGCTGCTCGCAAACAACTGTCAAGATGGGCATTAGTAAGTAGAGATCTGCGCTTTGATTTTATAATGTTCATGGTTGAATGGCCTTCATTATTCAGTATAACCTCTTTCTGTAACAACGCGGGCGCCGCATTGGGGACCACTAATGTACAGTATGTACAGTAGTTCAGAAAATGGCAAACAAAGACTGATGTTTTAGCAAAAGAGGGTGTGAATACAGTAGTATGCTTTTAATTTTTTATCATGCTTAGGACTTGTTAAATTCATACAAACATTGTATAAACCTTATTTATTTAATGTATAACTTTGGCTTTCAGGTGTGACACGGCGAGTCTTTGGTGTTAATCGATGCTCGGCAAACACTGCAGTTGACTTCGTCGATTTGGATATGTAGTGGGGTAAGTTCTGAAGGCCTTGTATAAGAAAGGAGTGAGTGGGGAGATGGATTTGATGGTGCTGATTGGTGGAGCAGAGGAAAGGAGGTGACAAAAAAGTTCTGGTGACCATGCTGGACAGGAAAGAATTTGCGGTGATTATGTGGAAGGGAGTGATGGCTGATCATATTTAACTCTGCAGCCTGCTGTTTTTTTATGTTCTAATCACAGGACTTTGTATTCCTTTATTTATTTTGAAATGGACATACAACTTCTGTTCATATTTAATAATTTCTAATGCTACCCATCTTTCTATATCCACCTTTTCTATCATCAGCATAATTATTAGCCTGGCTCCAGAATGCATAATAATGCTTACTTGAAAGAACTGTACTCGGGCAGTTGCTCTCCAAATCATAGTCATAAGCAGAACACCATAAACAGGAACGCCAGCTGCCAGAATCCCATGGAGACCTGGCATCAGGAGCATAGAAGCTGAAACAAACAATATGTCTCACTTTACTTTTGAGCAACTTGAAAATCATCTTTGTAATTAATGATTTCAAGGCCATAAATCACATTTTTCATCTGGGTACTGTGTGTCCTTTACGTTACAGTGCAACTGCATGTTAGTCTCATAAAATATTTTGACGTTTCTTATGCCACTTATTACAGGGCAAGATTCCAACAATTTTGGCTTCATCTCAGATTACTAGCTTGAAGACAATTTGAGATTTTTCATAATGTAAGGGTCGTGCTGGACCAGAACAGACCAAAACTAAATATGCTAGGCAGTGTATAGTGTAAACACTCGGTACAAATATCATCTATGTTCAGTTTTGGAAGAAAATATGTAGATGGACAGACAGATATAACCTGACTATTATGCATTTATTTTACCCACTTCATGCAAAGAATAATTAAGAACTTACACAGATCTCGAGTCCTAGGGAGTATTAAAATTAGGAATCTACCAATAAGGAGGAAAAGCAACAGGTTGGACAAAGGTTTTGGGACACTGGTCATATTAAGCATTTATGTTAACAGTCAAAAGTACGAAAAGAAAGTAATATTGGCAACATAACCAAAAGATTAAACATTATTAAAATCTCCTGAGCCAATTCAGACCATTTTCCTTCATCTTTGGTATTTCTTTAACAGCTCTTGATAGTATGACCTCATCTTGTTGATCTCCAAATAACAGCTTTCCAAGAGATTTAAATATTTTTTATATATTTACATTTTTATATACCCAAAGAGACTGAGGAAATTCACAAAATAACTTGTTTCATTGCAGACAGTCTCGGAAACTGTGACATTTTTAATCCATAATTCAGTTTATGAAATCACACAACTAACCTGTTGCACCAAACGCGTAGAGAGCAGCCCCAAGAGTTGCGTTAAGTGGCTTGAAGCCAAATGCTGCTGTATACATGATTTGTGCCACTCCAAATGCTGCCATGCCATGCATGAAATAGTGCGGCCAGATTAACAGTGCATCACCCAGGCAAGAGAAAAGTAGACCGGTTAAAATGCGACGTGAAAATGTGTACCTGTAATTAATGAAGGTTAGAATAACTAACAATCAAAGATCAGATTACTAATACCATATTTTCTGTTTATGTAATGCTGATATGGCAGCCTGAAAAATAATCTGAAAATAAATTTGTAATGTACAAGACCACGTTTCAATTCCAGGAAGGTATTTCTTAACAAAAACTACCATGGCATCAGCAATTCAATATTTGAAATATTGATATAATTATTAACAGTAGATGTCAGTAGTGACAGTGGTATTCAACTGCCTGTTTTCAGAAAACAGCACCTGTTTTAGTTTAAAGGCACTGTTTACCATTTGCAGCAGCATATTGCACACACATGAATGGTGTAACCTAGGAAGGGACGATGTCTTGCGTAGAACTCCGTCCATAGTTAAATTATTGGTTGGTTGATTGGTTCAATAATCAGTTCAGGCATTTCCTCCAAAGCAGGTAAAATAGTTGTACCGCCATGATTCAGTCGCCAGAACCTCGTTAGTGGGAACAGGATCGATGAACATTAGGGTAGGAGGTCCTTTACATTAAGCATGCTGCCAAATGCACCCAGGTATTATTGATAAAGAGCCATAAAAGCCTCAGGGTAGCTGGGTACCTCCCGAAAGCTGACCAGAGGTGTTACCGCTGTACTAATAGTTTAGATGTTTGGTTCTTGGCTGGGCACCTCCTGAAAGCGGACCAGATATTTAACGTTGTTCCAATTCATTAGACTTTTAGTATTTTGCATGTATTCTAGTGAGTACCTCCCAAAATACAAGTACAAGCGTTGCTGCCATTGGGTGCAGAACCGATCTGCATGCGACTGATGTGTGTTGAGTGGATTGTAAGGTGTCGGAAATGAGAATCACACCAGTGATGTGAAGTGTACTCACTCGTCTCCCAGACTCATGCCGTGAAGCAGTACAAATACGATCAGGCTGATAATTGGTAAGCACTTGATGAGCATGGCGAACAGCGACGGTCTCTCCTCTGGGATGAGAAGCACAAAGTAGATGGCAACCGTCTTAAAGAATGGCACCAGCTTCGGGCCAACGCTCTTTAACTGCGGAAACAAAATCAAACTATCAGTACGTGTTTTAGTCTTTTTTCATCAGGTATAGAATAATCACATTTGGGTGTAAAAAATACGGGACATTTAATTTCCACAGAAAATATTTCTGTTTGTTAGCAACGGGACACGGACTCGATGGTCTGGGTTCTGTTCCAGACATGATTCTAACCACGTCCAGAGTATGCAATGTACCCATCTCTCTGAACAGTTCTTATTCGAGTAATTTAGGACGCTGTTCTAATTTAAGGAGTTATATATAACATGACTAAAAATGTCGTGCTCACTATAAAAAATTACATGTATATTTCATTGTATTCATACAGGCGTTGTTTTAGAGATATGCGTCGTTATATACTAAAGCGTTCACGTGGACTTCGCATAAATGTTTAGCTGATGCGTTGAGTGCGTCGTTATAGCCTTGACCATTAAATGTTACGAAATTATTGTTTTCAAGAAAACAAAATGTTGGCAGACGTCCGATCGTCTTTCGAAATTTGTATTTCCCAGTCGTGTCTTTTGCGATTTTAAATAACTCATCGGTCTCATGAGGGGTGTTAAATTTTAGCCTGGACTTTGTTATTCAAGAATCCTACAATTAGGAAAGCAAAACAATATTACAGCCACGTTTCGAAGTTTTTCTTTTCCAACTTTATGAAAGCGTTCATATACGAGTTTAGAATAAATATTTCGGTCCATGTTAACGCCACATTTTAATTTCGTCATTCTCGGCTTCTTTTAGCTCAATCACTAAAGTGATTGATATTAATATTTCTCCTCGCCGCCATGTCAAGACCGGCCTTGCCGGGTACCGGGGATCTTTCCCCAGAGGTCAAGCGATCGAGCATTTAGCTGATGTGAACAATGCGTTGAGTTTTACCTCCATATGGCTTCAGGCACAGACACAATTTCACTTTACATTTGCCTTTCCCCTGAAGCGCTCTTTCAGCGACGAAAAATTGGGTAGAAAGTCACCGGATGACAAATCATCGCACCCTAGTGGACCGTTAACATGAGGAAGACGAACACATGTGGGCGAAAGAACTAGTCGCGTCTACCTCAGAGCTAGTCCCTGAGATTATTTTACAGGAGATCGCAGTAGTAACTGACTTTTATTGTACGCCATTGTTCCAGTAAATCCACATGAACAACGCCGTTAACATCTCAAAACACAGCGGCTGTACCTTGTTTTATGAAGCTCAGACCTTGAATTATTTTCGGCGGAGGTGAATTTGTGTTTTTTCACTTCATACTTGCATCTTTGCTTGCGGCAGTAAAGTGACTGAACCGATTCTCATGGGATGTTACGATACGTTGAAAAAAGTCAATACTTTCATTCTGATAGATCAGAGCCACTGACATTTTAATTCTCACTGCCTTTTGCCGTGGTGATAACTGTCTCGCCATTCTTCGTGCACTGACTTTGCCAAATGCCAAACCGTTAACGAGGTAGAGTGTTAGGATTTTAGGTTTTCACGGCGACGAGTCTGAAGAGAGACTACACGGTGCAACAACCCACAAGACAGCCATCTTCGGGTAGGATGCTGTTAAATATTTATCACGCCAAGAAACGTTTTAAACACCTATATTTTGCCATGGACTGATTTGCTCTGCGTTAAGGTTAGATTTTCATACCGCGTATTATACTGAACCGATTCGACCTCACATTAAGTTACTTCAACAACTTATACTGCGGACCTCCAACGCCATGTTTAATCGAAATCCGTTCTGTAATATCCGAGGTGAATCGCAAGGACAGCCACCTGATTATGCGTTCATTTTATGTACGTTGTGAAATTGCAAATAAAAGCTACTCTGCAGGTGCCGGAATGGCAGTCATCATCACCTGCGCGACAGATGTTCAGTCTACCCACACACGTCGTGTGGAAATAAGGAATATTTCGTGTCGGGGTTTAATGGTCATTTCCGTAGTATAGAGGCGGCTACTAGCAATTGACTGAATGGTCACGGGGGCACAGATTAATGTCGGTGCTTATTACAGCCTTCGCTGGCTACGATAATCATAACAGATTTAGGAATTTTTAAACTGAGATCATGGACGAATCATTTTAGTTCATTTTTGTAAGTACTGTAAACTTTTTATTTGAAAATGATAACTTAATGAGAACACTCAATTTGTATTGTACCCAAACACATAGGTCCTTCCAAGCAGATGCCGGTATAGTACCATAAATTAGACCGCGAACACACCTTTCCATAGCTTTTCCAACTCATTACTCACTGATCCATCATATCATTTGATTCTGTATAGTCACTGACAGCGTCATTAAATAAACCACACACAAAAAATAACTCGTGCTTCGATAGACAGCATTTGATATTAGTGGTCGGACTACTGGTAATTTTAATCCGACTGCAAACCAGTTTGGATAGAAGACCCAAGGCAGAAAGATACATTTACGAAATTATTTGCTAAGACAAGCTGAAAAAAGTATATATGTTTTATGTAACGTAGTCGCTAAAATTGGGGGTTCTCACGGCGAGGAACGGGAATGTGACTGTTTTCTGGGATGTTGCGCCGTGTATTCTGGTAGATATAGATCGACGTTTCAGAGGAGCTTACCGCCTCCATCGTCAGGGCGATGATAACTACTGTTAAAACTAAAATAAACGTTCAACTAGTAACTGTGATTACAGTTTATTTATAGAGTACTGTTCCATGTTACCGGGGTTCGATCCCCGACGGAGGATTTTTCCTCTAGCCTCTGCGTCCAGACCAGCTCTGGGGCCCACCCAGCTTCCTCTACAATGGGTACCGGGGTCCTTTCCCGGGGGTAAAGCCGGCCGGGGCGTGATGCTGACCACTCACCCCCATCTAGTGCCGAGGTCAAGGAAGAGAGGAGCTATACCTCACTCCCTCAAGCGCCTACATGGCGTATAGTGGGACAGCTTTACTTTTTTTTTACTGTTCCATGTTACAGACTGCTGGATAACTAATAACATAACATATATATCAATGTAGTGTTCGACACGCACAACGGACAAGAGAATCTGTGCAATGTATTCTGCACTGCTTATTTATCCACTGACTGAACCACACGGCAGACAGCGGTCTCATGTGCCCGTCTCGACTGTTTTCCATGTGTACACAAGTCATTTTTGCTTGTGTTTTCATTAGGCTTATTGAAGACGCAGCGAATGTGTTTAAGTTGAACGTCAATCATGTTGCGGAGATTAGCAAGCCGAGCTGCTTCGTATTCAAATCTTCCTGTTACTACGCCATTTTATAACCTACGTGTTTTAAAAAATAATTGTCAGTTAGATGACAAGTGAGTGCTTAAACACGGTAGTAGACTCTGATGACAACGCTAATATTTGTACGATTTGAGGTTTTTCCTGTGGTGAGTCCGAAGTTGGCTATCTTCCGGGTTTTTGCGCCGTGTAATCTGGTAGAAGTTTACCAACGTTTCAGAGGTCTTTGCTGCCTCCATCATCAGGGCGAAAAGTTAGTAGACTTCTACCAGATTACATGGCACTACAGCACAGAAGATAACCATCAACTTTAATACTTTTTAATTGTATGTATAATATGTGAGACCATCAGTAATATATCCAAATAACATTCGTAAAGAAGTGGAGAGTTCCATGTAGTCAGTTCGTTACTACAGGTTGTCATATAGGTTATTCATAACGAACTTATCATTCATTGTTCTCGTGTATACTGGTACTAGCGGTTAGAACGCTGGCCTTGTAATCCTGGGGGTCTCGGGTTCGATTCCCGGCGGTGCCCGAATTTATAACTTGTGTTGGGCAAGGCCGTGGTCTAGGCAACACGGAGTTTTCCTCCGGGGGCTTCCCCGGTTTCTCCGTGGCATCCCAACAATTACTCCATTCACACACAGAAGAAGGCAATGGCAAACCACTTCTGGATCATCTGCCAAGAACGTATATGAACAGGTCCCAGTCCGAGAAAAGGAGGGAAGGATCCTGTTCATATGGACCTGTCGTCAGACAGAACACTAAATAAATACTGTTACTATTTTTTCTAGCGGAATCTGTCACGTCACTCATCGTCCCTCGACGCATTCCAGACATCCACTCTGTACCTTCGAATAACCTTTTTCAAATTTAATGCCCGCGGCTATAAAAATAGCGGAAAATCGATACTTCCGCAACCCACAATACATAAATACATTCTCGTCTCGTTTGTCCCTACATTGTTTGAGCAGTTCATCATAAAGCGTCGTTAAACAATGCGAACAAATTATACAAACGTAATTAAGACACGGATGTATTTTACAACTGCACGTGGTTCTTTTTCAGCAGTTTGCTGGGTGTGGTTATCACCATGGAGTCTGACAGCAGTAATTAGGGCATTTCATGCCCGCGTCATCATATCTTGATGAACGAGACGTTTTATAATTTTAGAGTTTCCTCTGAAATTCTTTGTCCGTCAGTCGGCTTGCATATTTGATTCAGTTTTGGTCACTACTTGACTGTTAGGAAAATAGAAAATATCAACATGGAGACTGTGTTAAACATTTTGATTTGTTGAATCGCTGTCAGTTTGTAACCGGAAATTCGCATAGCGATGTGTTACAAAAATCTAGGCATTTTGTGTTATGTTTCGGAATGCTGTGGTAACTGTGGAATTATGAAATCTGGAAAATGGATTCAGTTTGTGTGTCGATGAGTCAAATTATTTTATCTCCTTAACGGGTTGTCGTACAACAGAGTCTCCAACTTAAAGTAACCATTTTATGGAGTGACGGTGTATTGTTCCTGAAAGAGGCTGTACTTTTGCCATCAGACACGCACGCACGCACGTGCTGTTCACAATAATTTTCGTGTCCTCGAAATCCCGTTTCACATCCGCTTACCTCACATCTTGATCTAAGGGCGCTCGAAATGCGTATAATTCCAAGGCGAGGGCCAAGGCGAGACTGGCGAAGAGAACTGAATTTTGATTTCAGAAATCGGAAGCTTCCGCCGATGTCGTGTAAGAAGGAACAGAGTCTCTCTCGAGCGGCTGA